GGGGGGAGGGATAGAGGTGTGGTCATCTGGTGCTTTTATTTGTCCATCTGCGAGTCCATCATTTTCTTTATGCTGTCACCTAATCACTGGTGAGAACTACTAGCATTTTCTTTTTATGTGTGTTTGTGTGTGTGTGCATGTGTGTGAGAGTGTGTGTGTGTGTGTATGTGTGCATGTGTGTATTTTTTAGCATTCTGTAACACAGGCCCACAGTATGTAAAATTAATTTAAGATTTATAGAGGAAGTTTCACGTTCAATTTAAGGTTTGATCTAAATAGTAATCGGGAAGATTAGAGTGTCATTCTAGCCTTAAGTGAGCAACTTCCTGGTTTGGTCAGGCGTGACAGTAAACAACTTCCTGGTATGGTCAGGTATGTCATTCTTCCTGTTACCTGTTGTTTCACCAGTACAGTCAGGTGTCATAGTAGTGCTCTGTAGGCAATGTATTAAGAATGTCACCAAATAAGGTAAAAACTGTCACGACAAACTAGGACGTGATTAAGGATTAATTACATGATTATTTCACTGCCATTGATCTTATGTGAGACTTTTTCATGAGGAAGTGTTATCAGATACAAAGATTATTGTGATACCTGAATATCATTGCAGCCTTAACTCTGCATATATTTATACTTACATATGAGTGAGGCAATGCCTTGGGCCTCTGCTCTGAAATATATTAAACCACTAAAAGGGGGTGGGTGGGATTTGATTGCAACAGAATTTTGTAAATGAAACTTGATTGAGGGAATTAATGAATGAATACATTAAATAAATTAATGAATTAATAACAGTATATAATTTAACATTAGAAAATTGAATTAATAGATGATTGAATTATTAGTCCCCTTGAAGTGGACAATATGATAATTAATATTCAGGCCTGCTACAAGCTCCAGGAGTTGTGGCATATAGCCCTCAGGTGGCAGTGTATTGTTTGGCATACATACTAAGAGAAAGTACTTGCATTTCACCACCTTAAAAGGTATATATATATATTTCCAGTGGCACATAACACCTCTAGGTACTATGTGTATATATATCAGTGGCACACTCCAGTTTTACCCCAGAGTGTATCTTATCATGGCTCTGGTATGTGTTGTGTTGACATGAAGTCATCATCTACACTCACCAAGTAAACAGACACTTCACTATGTCTACTATGTCAACACACTGCCAATGTTATCTCACACTTGACATTACAAGTGTTTGTTTTGAGATGATTAGGGGAATTTATGAAAATTTATGGTTGGCACATTGGTTGTGTTTGGTCTGTTTATAAATGAGAAGAGAATGTTGATTGCTGATGACTATTGCATTGTGTTTTTATCTTATGAATCATCCACGGATAAATCTGTTTTGCATTGTGTGTTCTATTTATAATGTGCATAATTGGTTACTTGCTTATCATGTCCTCATGAAATGTGTCATCTATTTCTATACATCAGTGGCATCTGTTTCCATACATTCAAGCATTTTGTTAATGTTCAAATCATACTGTTTCTACTCTGTTTACATTTAATTTGCACTTTTGCAGTGCTAAAGTCTATGCAACATTCACGTCCCTCTTTTTCTGTTTAAATTCACTTAGTTCTGAAGTTCTAGAGTTTCACTGCATCCTGTCTTTAAAAGGAGCTTGAGTAAGAACTTTTTTTTTTTTTTTTTTTGATATGGGACAATAAATTGGGTTTACTCCTGCAGGAGCTGAGGCAAACTTGGTCTTCCTGGTCTGTGTACTTTCTAGTCAAACAGCTTTCCTGAAATTTGATTACAGTTTTGGTTTAAAAGAAAGTGAGGAAGAAAATCTTAAACATGTTTAAATAAAAGAAAGTGAGGAAGAAAATCTTAAACATGTTTAGAATTTAGTGTGTCATGTTTGAAACTGATCCAAGATGAGCTCCCAACTTGTAATTGAGAACATACCACAGAAAAAATGAGTCTTAGGGCCAAGTCAATGACCCACAGTTTATGACAATTTAATATTTTCACAATTATTTGATGTCACAGTTGATTTCATTCCACATTGAAAGGTACTGTACTGTAGTATCAAACAATATCAATAGGACACGTAGTCAGAATTAGGTAAAATAATACACAAAATGTGAGCATCACTGAATAACTCAGAAGGTCAATATTTTTTGTGCACTCACTGACCCTTTGTGTATCGGGATCTGACCTGTTGAGGAGAGTGATGAGTGCATGTACTTTTGGAAGTAGTGAATGCGCTAACCTGTGTGTGTGCATGTGTGTGTGAATGTGTGAGTGTACATGTGTGTGTACATGTGTGAGTGTACATGTGTGTGTACATGTGTGAGTGTACATGTGTGTGTACATGTGTGTGCATGTGTGTGTGAATGTGTGTGTGAATGTGTGAGTGTACANCATATATATATATATATATGTTTATTAATTAATCTATTTATCACTTTAGTATTTGAAATTTAAAATTGTTGATGCATATGTGAAACATTTTGAAATATTTACCCCCTCTGATATTTATTTTAATTTTTATAAACAAGATGAAGAATTTCAAAGCAAAATGTTTACAAAATAAAAATTTTCTTCATCCCAGGATGAGAGATTTCTTTTAGCTTTCTTGCCCTCGCCATTCAGACTTCACCTCCTTAGTTTAACCTGATATTTCTCTCCCTTTCAGTTCCTTCTTATTTTCCGCAAGGCGGCTGCAGGAGAATTGGCAGCCGAGAGCGGATTGTACGAAATATACACGCACCTCAGTGAAATTGATGTGGATAAGGAGGGCGTCAAGGGAGCCAAGAACTTCTTTGAAGCCAAGGTACAATTAGAAAAACACAATAATAATATTGTTTAGAGTCTAAATGCCAGTTTTGTTCAGTCAACTTTACAATACACAGTAGGAGTAGAGTGTTTCTTTATGTACGCTAGCTTCAGGTTTGGTACTTTGAAATTTGGTACTTCGAAAATTAACATCCTGGGTTTTTTTTTTTTTTTCAGATAGACCAGCAAACACAGGAAAAGAAGTTTGAGGAGGAAATCCGACAAGAGCAAGAGGAGAAGAGAATTCAGCAGGAAGAGAAAAAGGAAAGACAGCAAGCCTTTAAAGCAAAGACAACGTTTTTTAAACAAGAAATTGAAAACCAAACCAATTGAGATCAAAAAGTGATTTGACTGAGAAGAGGGTGGGGGTAGAGAGTGAAAAGAGAGTGCCCAAAATGGGGGGGATGGGGGGGGGACTAAAAATTCATCAGTATCTATATTTGTTATGTGTAATGCAAACATTCACTAAAAATTTCATCCATAAGATATATATATGTGTTTGTGAGTGACAGCTAGATTTTTATTTCATTTTTTGATACAAATATGTTTGTAGCACTGAGCCAATTACACGTAGGTTCATGTTAACCCTGGTTTTCTACCGGTACTGTTGTATATCAGTTAATATGTAATGTGCCTTGTTTGCAACAGTATATACTCTTTAGTATTATTCGTCTATGCAAGATCATTTTAGTCTTTCACAAATTTTGTGAGGATGACTGTTGATCATGATTTTCTTTTATTGTACATCCTCCTTGTTGAAACACAGTAGCATAATTTTCAGCCAAATACTTTTTTTTCTTTTTATTTTAAGAGGGTGTATGAAGTTTGCTATCCAATCCTCCAATTTGTCCACAGGGGATTTTGCTGTCCGTTATATCTGTACATGTGTGAAGGTTGGAATAATTTCAACATTCAAAAACCAAGATGCAATGAAAGAGTCGTAATATTTGTTTTGAAGCAGCACTGTGGGTGAGGAACAGTTAGATTGGGATGTCGAGTGTGTGTGTGGGGGGGTGGGGGGGAGGGGGAGGGGGGATAAGGATATGGCGGAGGGTTAAGATTTAACTTGAGAACATCGGGTTAAAGGCGAAGGCTTAATGATGTATTTGAATGGGTCAATGTTTGCAAAGTTTAATACTCAGTTATTTGTGCTTAAAATGAGTTGATTCATGTGAAATATGTTACATGTTTGACAAAGTTGTGATCAGTGTTCCCCAGGGGATGTATTGATGTGTGTGCATTGTTGCATGTCTTTGTGGGCAAGTCTGATTTTTTTATGGAAAATTCTATACACCATGGAAGCTTCAGCTCAGTGATACAGAAAAATATGTTACAGGCATTTTGAAAGTGAAGTACTTCCCATTTTGGCTCAATTAGACACTGTGTGCAGGTATTGAAGACTATATCTGTATCAAAATATTGGAGAAATTGTAGAAGTTTGTATAAAATAACAACCTCAGCAGCTCTCACAGTGGAGCGGTGGCATTGTGTAGGTTTTACCTCAACCTTTGTGTACGTTTATGCAACTAGTACATGATCTTATGAATTCCAAATGTTGAAAAAAATGGGCAAAACATACCTCATTGTTCTGAACAAAATAACTGACTTTTCTCCCATAAGAATCTTTTGACTTTTATCTTTTAAATGAGAAAATAATGTGAGATATTTTAATGTTTCAATGTCAAGAGGGCTGCTACTTAATATTTGCCAAACTGTGATCCCAATGTATGACTGATGTGTCAAATAACATACTCCACCAAAGTCCCATAATGTAGAGAACGTTTTCCTGAATCTGGTTAAAATGATGCTGTAGGCAGACTACAGTGGGTTAAAAACCCCTAGTCTAAAATATGAGAGAATTTAGGGGGAAAAATTCAAATTTTCTGTGCATTTGATTTGAGTAATTTGAGATGGGAGTAAACAAAAGACAACACGCGACTTTTATGTGCCTAGTCCAGCTGGTGGTACATGCCCAGGAGACGGTATAGCCTCTCTGATCCTCTAGTTTGAGGTGAGGGTAGACCGTGTAAAGGACACTCAGCTCCAGGTTTTTGTAACTTGTTAAATTTCTTCTAGATCTTGTAAGATGTTGACAGAATATGTCAATTTGTGATCATCTACAGTATATTTACTACCATCCAACATATAGATGTAGACTTGAAAGAAAATTCATATATGTTTAATGTTTCTGATGTTCAAGATTTAAAAGTATATTAGTGTTGCAACAACTTGTTAGGTTTATATATTATATTTCATTGTCTTCATTCGTCATTGTTATTGTTGCCATGATGGGCTCTGTTACCAAGGTGATCATTGCCATGGTTACTGTTATCACTTTGCATGTTCACCATATGAATAAAGCTTTTGAAACACTTGTTTTTTCTGTTATGAGTGACCCTCCCCCCCTCCAAGGTTTGCTAATGTACTGTGAATTTTTTTTAAATGATAAGGATGTGTCGTCCTTGGCATGAAGCTGACAACACTGAGATCATAATTTGATTTCAATTTTTTGTGGTACCAGTACATGAAAGTTCATTGTGTTAGGTGTGCAACTCCAACACAATCCTTCCTCATTAGCATCCATTGTGGCTCCTTGGCTTAGAATGCAGCAGGCCCTATATCTCCTGTATGTGTTCTCACTACGTACTAAAGCTTGATTAACATGTTCCCCATTTTCGCACATATTTTCTATGCACTTGAAACTTTGCACTCATCACATAACAAGAAAGCATTTTTAATCTGAATTTATTGACAGGGTAGTACATTTAGGGTGGGAATATAAATGATAAAAAAAATCCTCAAAAGCTTTGGTAGAATCACTTTAGAAGTGAAGATGTTGTTCAAAAGCAAACAAAAAAGCCCTTAAAAGTTTGATCAAAATTACCACACATAAACGAAATCAACATTGCTAATTGAAGCTAATAACAAAAAGTCTTGATTGTACTTGCTATAGGCAGTTGAAACAAGAAATGAAACCGTCAGCAGTTTGACTTCAAAGTTTTCCCCCACATTCGTCAAAAACGAGAACTGTAGTATCACATGGAAAAGAATAAGTGTTTTATAAAATGACAAAACTGAAACCATCCAAATCTACCCTAACCCTTCAAACGTTAGTACTAGAAGAGGAACTACTACATTAGAAATACATACCGCGCAATACACGCAGTTCTAAATTGTCAATTTTTACACCCTGAGGTCCAGGACCTCCCATCTCCTCACTGCAGTAGAACTAGAATCAGTGTTATTATACCATACTTGTGTCTCTATGCAGGTATCACCTTTTCTAAAACCTCAAGTTAAATAAAGAATGCACAGCTATTGCATTAAAAAAGCCAAGTTGTTCTTTTACAATAGGACAAAAGTACAAAACTGCGTATCACAGAGTTCTTTGTCGACTTATTTTGAGCACCCTTTGGGTATTATAATAAGATATTTAGAGTCTAGTTTTGACTTATGGCATCTCAAAAAATTTAACTGCGTGCATAAGAAAATTGAGGTGAGATTTGGTTCGTATCTTGGTATGAGAGGCATATTACAGCTGTTCACTTGCTGGCATTAGTAATATGAATGGTATAAACCCCCGCATTTCTCTGCTAATCTGCCCTCTTTTACACTGTTCCCATTTCTTCCTTTTAAACCTTGGCATCAACATTTTCTTTTATATATAAGATATATTAAGCACAATCAAATTAAAATGTCAATCACATAAAAAATATTTAAGTTTGAAAACTGCATCCAAACAGCTATAAATTCACCTTTTCTAACTAAGACACAATCTAACACTTTAATCTGTTCATCAAATGAAAAACCAGTCTGAAAATTCTATATAATTTGGATTCCCCAATAAAAATACCCAATACGCTGCATCTACTTAAGGAAGAACCTGTCATTTAAGGTAAAATGGTGACAGCTGGACTGCATATTATACTGGTATGCTTAGAGCTCCAATGTCTCAATGACTGTACATAGACATACATATATATGATATATGTATTGATTACTGTGCAGTGAATGATTTACTTCCATGCTGTTATAATACGGTCTAATTTGTGTGTAGGAATTACCATATCAGGAAATGTTTTGTAGCATGTTCACCTACAATTTGTTCATTATCAAAGCTTATCACTAATGAACCTTACGGACAGGAAATATTTGGCATCCCCCAATACGCCTACTGATCAACATCTCCTTTCTCAAGGTAAAAATAATACTAGCTGGTTTGTAAGTAGTCTTAGTGTAAATGTATGGTAATAAACCTATCCTGTTGTACAACTAATACTGAGACTTGATGCTCAATACTGATCATAAAAATTCCTGTGTTACAATATCACCAGCTTTCAGCTAAATCTTTTACCTTTTCATTGTAAGTCTTTAAAGATATGATAAACAGAAATTACAAAACATTATTATATCTGTCATTCTTTGCTAGTGGTTACAAAATGTTGAATTTGACCGAAAATTTCAAACTTTCTCTAGGAAGCTGTAATTTTGCGATGTNGAAACATACACAACGATGTCATGAGAATTTGGTCGGCTATCTAAATTGAAATAACATTCTTGTTATGGTCCCCCCGCAGTGCACCACTAGCAAAGAATGACTGATATATATTTAATTTAGTAGAAGTAAAAACCATTGTGCTCTTTCTAAGTGTAAGATAATATAAAAATTTATGGGTAATTATTTGAAAAATGGACAATTTGTAAGTATACTGTTCATTAATAAAATTTTGATTTAATTAATACTATTAGCTAGTGTTATGAATGAGGATAAGCATAGATAAATGATTGTCTTTATAAAAAAATTCTAACCAGTCACATATTCATTTGCTATTCAGTTTGTGAAATGTAATGTCATCTGACAGCTTTAGAAGAGCATCTCAATCTCCAAAAAGACAAAAATTTAATAGACAAAAAGAGGGCAACACAACCTAATGAAACATACATAGCATCAACATAACACACCAAAAGGGGATATTTTTAACATTCTTGTTAAAAAAAAAGAAGGAAAAATTACCAAAAGAATAGGAAATGAAACATCAGTAAATGAAATACAACAAACAATAAACAGAAGACTTTCAAACAACAAAGGGTCAGCCCTCATTTGGAGGATCTCTTAATTTCAAAGGACCTCTTTTTAAAAAATCACATTTTTAACAAACAAATGAGTCACTACAAGAAAAAAATTTGCCAAATCCTAAATAACAACACATTCATAACAAAATATCCATGGAAAAAATCCCAAAAATTTGATCATCTTTTCATCTACCCCAGAAGGTCATCCACTGTTTTCAAGCCATATCTCTGCGGGCTGCGAGTTTCTCCGATGTCTTTTCCAGCCATTTTTCCGTCCACCATATATTCCTTACCCATCACCCCTTGTGCCCACAGGATAATCTTATCAATATTGGGCGTGGGCACTCCAACAATCTCAGCGATGCCGCGAGTGACGGTGAGGCCAAAGGGGATGTCCTCCGTCAAGTACCTCTGGGTGAAAAGCGGGACAAACCCATTTCCGTCCTTACTGGGTTCCATGGGATGAACGAGACCTGGGTAGCTCTTGTGTGTGCGGAGGATGGTATAGATACTGGTCTTATCTGGGATGTGGTTTGGCCAAGTGTCCAAGTACCTGTTAACACAACAAACAATATGCTTACATCATCAATAGACTGTCAACAATGACAGGTGTCACTAAAGCCCCCTTTACACTGGACAGCGTCCTCTCTGCGTCCAGCAGTCCGGCCCCATTTGAGAGTTAAAAAATTATAATACTTTACGTGCCGGCAACTTGCTGTTCATTGAGCATTCATTCTGTTACAAAATCTATGCTCGTGCCTCCTTATTAAGACCACACCGTTGCCAAATTTCATGGTCGCAGAGAGGACGCAGAAAGGACGCCGTCCAGTGTAAAGGGGGTATAAGCTACTGACAGCTAATAACGATTTAAAGACCACTTATTTGAAAGACGTGAGGCCATTTCACTTATAACTAAGTCAACAAAAGTATACATGAAACAGTTTTGTGCCAAAGGTAGGTACCAAGAAAAAAATGCCTTAAGCTGTGGTCTCATATATGTTGTCAGCAACTGAATTCACAGATGCTGGCAAAAACTATGCATTCGTATTTAAAATGTTTTTAGGAATTAACAAATAATTGGGTATGTATACACATGCATGCCAAACTCACAAACACAAGTATGCACACTCTTGTGTACAACACACACACACATGCACGCACATCCACACACACACACACACACACACACACACACACACACACACACACACACAC